CAATTTATAAATTATTGTCTTTGTGTTGAAATATAAATGCAAAGAAAAAAGGGGAAATAGAAAAGGAAATAAAGAAACATAATGTAGGCGTAAAGAAAAAGTAAAATGCATGACTGCGGAGAGATCATCCAGCCTAAACCTGCCTCGCAGCCTTATTGGTCTGATGAACGAAATATCATCTAAGTTACTAACTTAAGGGTTTCGACAAGAACAAATCAACCAATATACAAAGCCCATAAAACTAATTGTTAGCTGCCTTGATTTTCATCTCAGTACGTTTCAGCGAGTAGTAATACCCCTTCCAATATCGCCAAACTACGCCCTTGGCGTAGACATCCGTCTCCCCACTGAGGTACAGGCCATTCAGATTGGAGGAGTGACAGCTTGTGTACCACCAGGCGCCGGTGAATGCTACGGCACAGTTAGGACCGTAAGAGTCGTTGTCGCGGTCTTTGGTAGTAAAGGGACTGTTACTGTAACTGGACAATGAATCACCTGCAAAAATATATAAAAGATAGCAATTTGCATGACATTGAAGACATTTATTTTTTTAACGTCAAAATTGTTTCAGTAACTGTTTTAGTGAGCATTTCCACACCCATCGAAATGATCTTCTAATAAATCTAACGTCAAGGTGTTTACGTACGCGTCTGAAACCATTTTAATTGGAGTATTTAGGGCTGCTACAATTTTATCGCACCGTTATTTTGCAGTTTCCACCCATTACCTGCGAAACAAAGTCTGTAGAATATCACAGCAGTACCTTACCGTGTACAATATCAGTAAAATAGAACAGATATTACGATATTATCATACTCTGATTCCCTAGTTCAAACCCATTTCCTGTGCACAACAGTTCGTAAAATAAAACATCACTTACCAGCCGTTCCCGAAAAGCCTTGCACAGTGAATCGGTAGTTGTCACTCCCATCAGCAACACGAAACATGTCGTACTTGGCATACGCAGTGTTGTTCTCGAAGTCCTCGAGATCGACACGCAGTCGGTACGCGCCCTGAGCGGTGAGTCGATGCAGGTTGTCATTGCCGAGCCAGAACTCGCCGTTCAGATCACCGAACCCCTGGCGGTAGCTCACCCAGTCACGGTAAAAGTCAACGGAGCCGTCTTGACGCCGCTGAAACACCTGTAACCAAAACAAGAAAACAATGTCAGCGATTTTGTCGGTCCAGTGATTTGCCGTGAATAGAAAGGGGCAGCGGAGTGGTAAACGTTCCAAGTTATTTATTGTTATTTACTATCCCGTGTTATCC